ACCCTCTCCAAAACCCATTATACTACAGCTGGGTAAACTGCTCTGAAGTAGATGTTAACTGTAGAAATTCCCTTTTATGAACAGAACTGCTATTTGAGTAATGTGGGGGCTTGGCCATTACACGGCACTGCAGCTCAGGCTCCATTCCCACAAGGAGCTGAACTGCTCTAGCTGCTCACCATGACCAAAGGAGGGACCTTGGCCACCTTTTCCTCCCCCCTGTTCCTCTCCTTTCCCTCAGCTTTTGCTCCTCTTCTGTTCCTTATTTCTCTTGACTTAGCAGTGCTGACCCCTCAACAAGCATATTTGAATCCAATACAAGAGAGGGGAAAAAATAACCACAAAAAGCCCCAACACCACACATCTTAAAGCATATCAATCTCAAAATTTTGTGGGGAGTACAGTCGCATTCACTTGATAAATAGTTGCTTTTCCTAGAGACATTGTGTATCTGATAGCAAGGCAAAAAAACTGATTTATTTCTTCTTTAATTTAGAGCTAGCATAAAGGAATTATATTGAGCCCAACAGGCACAAAATTCTTTAACAGTAGGGTAGTGTCCCAATCAAAAACTTGTAAAAATAAATCCTGACACTGCTTCCAGACACTGAAAATCAGCTTTAGATACTGTAGCTTCATAGAAGTCAGTATTCATCTACAACTGAGTGACAAAAAAGATATGCATAAATTCAAAGCAAGTCCATTGCTTCAATGCTACCATTTAGTACCATAACTGAGATGTTCAAACAATGCAATATTTACATCAGAAATTTCATTTTTTTTTGCTATTATTTACATTATCAGTTTTACTAAAATGAACAGAGCATAGATATAACTACAGCTTACTGCCTTAACACAGCAACACGTGATTAGTCAAAAATCCACCCAGGAATGACTTCTGTAAAATTGGGAATACAGACTTCAGTGGTTGTCTAGGAGAAGGAGTGCTATGTTTTATAGTCTAACAGTCACTTCATCACAGTGTGACACTCATCAGACAAGGTTAAATCTCAAACAATAAGCACAGGGAAGGAGAAGAGAGAGTTTCATGAGCAGCAGGAGGGCTGTTCATATGTCCAGCACTGATGGACAAGGAAAGTTAATCATTCAAATATTAAGAAAGATTTCAGTTTAACCAGCTGCAGAGAGCTTGGCTCATTTTAAAATGTAATTTGGTTTCACAAAACATTTCCCCCTTTTTTTGCTATTATTGACAAGTATTTTGGCCTTACAGAGGAGTACACTTGATAATACAAATTCTATACTATGAATGAGGAATAAATAAGTTAGATCATGAAAAAAAAAAGTCCAAGAAGCTTCTAACCAACACTATAACCCCTGTTTCCAACAAGAAACCGTAAGAGTCTTTTGCATAAAAATTTTCATTTCTATCTAACAAACATACCATATTTAATGTATTTGAATTACTGTACAAACCTGTGCCATTTACAGAGAAGGGATTAACCAACAGAGTAGTACCCTAAACTGCAGGAAGATACAAGGATGCTCTTTCAGTTTTTGTGCAGTTCTGACAGCAGAGACAGCATTGTTTAAAGTAAATAAACACTAAAGCTATTTCTATATAAAGATCACGTAGCCAGGTATTTCTGAAACTAGAAACTCTGTATTGGTAAATTCTGACTTTGTATATTACACAAGCTTCCAAGACTGTCATTTAAAGATTATAAGGTCTATAAGCAGAAAACATTGCCCAGTCAAATGTTTTCCCACAACTTTCCCATTTGGTTCTGTCATCTCCCCAAGTCTTAATTCCACTTTCTGCACTTCCCTGCTAGGGAAGTAATTTGGCTCATTCTTCCAGCCAACAGTCCCATGCTCTCATGCCAGAAACAGATTTTTGTGTGTGCATCTGAGGAAGCAACCTGCTGAGTTCTGCTCTTCCAGAATCTGTTGATGCAATTTCTCTTAAAATTAAAAAATATTAAAAAAAAATGCTGCTTGATAAACTTCTTTCTTCATGTTAAGCTCCTAAACATATATCACTAAGTCAAGAGTAGCCAAATGGTACTTTAAACAGTTCTAATACACTGAAGCTAAATAAAAAACTCCTACAAGTATGAGTTACGAAACTACAAATAGATTTTTGTTGGAAAATCTACATTATGTAAGCTTCTCTGAAGCTAGTGTGACTTTAAACAAAGAAGAAACAAAAGATTAAAACTAGCAAGATTTTAAAAAAAACCAAACAAACAAAACAAACCAACCCAGAACATAGTATTTCCTGATGGTTTTAAGCACACTCAAGTCCTAAAAGAACCAACATCTCAGCTGAACTTTGGGTGTGTAGGAGTTACAGTGGATTTCCATCAACTGCTTTGGGGATTGTCCTGGGTTTTACTTCATTTTCCCAAAAGTTTTACTGTAAGAAAAACATCTAGACTATTTGGAAATATTTTAACAAATTACTCAGCCAAATACTCGAGTCCAATTCTCTGATTTTATTTCCCCGTCCATAGCTTTCAGAGGAAAAATAACCATATGCAGGGTGCACAAGGCATAATCCATATTCTCCAATACTGCAGGTTAAAGCATCAGTCATGCACACATTCTTAACTTTTAGCTGCAAAATCAACACACAATAAGGACTGGGATATGGTCTAATGTTTCATTAGACTTCAGCACTAGTTATTTAGTTTCCACATTCTGTACCCTCTGAGCGCGTATATGGCAGTTACCAAACACCACTTTTGTTATTCACTATTTTGTTAAAATGGCATATTGTTCATCAAATCCCTCTCTCCTCCTCTCCCTTCCTTCCTGCAAAATCCAACCTCCTCTCACATGGAAGGAACTCTGCCAGACAGCAGAGACATCCACCCAGAAATACTCCGGAGGTGCTGCCTAGGGACGCCAGCACACACGTGTCCAGGTTACTGCAGGAAAAGAATGGAAAGAACCTCCAGAGCTACAAAGCTGGGAACCCACACCCCGTTAGAAACATGTCCTTCAGAGCTGCCAACAGCCCCTCTAGTCTGGAGCTGACAGGTGTGCCAGAAGGCTTGTGAAAAGTTTAACAAATACAGACTTCAAGACTAAACACAGTTTGACCCGAAGAGAATCCTCTCGGTGGTGTAAGAGCTGAGACTGACAGGCAGCCTCGGAGCCTGTGTGAGACCGTCCCCAGGAAACTTGTGCCTCTCTTGTTTGCAGCACAAAACAGGGCTCCAAGGTGGTTACCATGCCCCTAAGTCTCTTTAACTAGAACAGAACACACTCCAGACCCGTGGCATTTCTCATTCAACTGAAAACAAAGAATCTGATTTTATCTAAATTAATTCCGGGGCTTCCCAGAATGAAGCAATTGTTTCTCTGAGTTACTCTATTTTAGTTAGTAGATTTATTCCCCCTAAAGCTATTTGGAAGCTGGATTGCAGCATCTCTCTCCACTGTCAGTGTTACAAAAGAATGTCTAATCAGACAGAGTACTGAAAGCAGAGCAGCAGCATGACCATCTCAGCTGCAGGACAAAAGAGAAGAGATGTCAGATAGGCAGGAATACTGTGTTGTAGAGCAGTTATGAACAGAGCCCCTGGACAGCTTGTGCAGACTGGACAGTGCCAGCCTGAGACTGCATCACTACTGACCTCATTTAACTTGTCTTACAATTAGGCTGCACAAGGAATTAACAGGACATCTGTGTTCTTCAGGAACTATGACTATCAGATGCCTTCAGGTTTCTAGTCCATAACTATGAGGCTATTGCCCAAATAATGCTTTACCCTAAAGACAGCATAAAAAAAAAGGAAACCCAGAAAACTTGCCTTTTATCTCCTTTTAAAAGTACAGTTTATTAAAAAAAATGCACCTTGCATTGTTATTTAGAAGTCTATATTAAAAAGCAAACTTGTTTTTAAATAGGTTATTTGATACCTTTAATATGGTTGTGTTTGAATACCAACTAAGAAATGAGAACAACATTGATATAAGGTCACAGTCCATAAAGAGACAGAACAGCATTCAAGGGGTCTCACCTCAGGTCTCTGGCAGGATCACAAACACCTGCACATCATTCCTGACAAACATTTGTTCAACACATTCACAGAGACCTCCATCATGGAAATTCTAAATATTATCACATCAATATCATCTATTCTTCTTTATATCCTTACCATGAGAAGTTTTTTCTAACATCAAACCTAAGTTTCCCTTGCCTCAGTTTAAATCCATTTCTTCTCATCTGCTCCACCAGACAGAAAGAACAGCCTTCTCTTTAGCACTCTAAGTATTTGAAGATTATATCTGCCTCTGCCACCAGTCTTCTAATGTTTAGAATAAAAAACCTGAATTCATTTAAACTTCCCTCAGAGGCAAGATTTTAAAATCTCCTGAGGATAATCATTGCTGGTCTGTGTTCCTCTCCAAAATGTCCACTACTTTCCCAAAAAGCAGTGCAAAAACCCCAGTGCTGCAGCCAAGGTGTCAGCAGAGCTGAGCAGGAGGGAAAGGTGCAGGCTGCAAACCCCCTTAGAGGTGCCATGGCAGTGAACCAAGGAGTGAACCATTCACAGGAGCACAACAGGAAACTTCAGCAGCTTCCAGCTCCAATCTCTACCAATGGAAATCTGGCAACAGAGTGGGGTTTGGGTCCAGCTTCTGTTCCAGACATTTCTGTCTCTGTAAGAGAATGAACTACCTGTGAGCAACTGGGTGGTTCTCTAATCGCTCCATGTCTGAGTGCTGCTCTCACTGACAATTCTTTTTCCCTTGTGTGTCACATGATGAAAATGCTCCAAAGCTTCAGTAACTATGTGTGACTTACAACACTCCATACAATTACTCAGCTAATTAACCACGATGAGCCTCTTTCAACCAAGTATAATTTATAAAAATAAAAAGAAACAACCACACACACGCACACACAAAACGGAAGGCACTTACTGCCAGAACGGTATTCAGACTGCATTGCTTTACACACCTTACTCTAATGTTTTCTACTGTTATCTTTAGGTATACAAGATCTGAATATTTCTAATGCTTACCTTTCTGTGTTCAATTGAAGGCTGTGGGATGACAAACTGAAATCCCAACACTGCTAGGGAACTGAGAAGTCTGAAAAGGCAAACAGTGGAACAGAACATATAAATACCATTAATACAAACTGCACATCTACAACCTATTTACAGGGTTCATATTGCAAGAAAATATTTAGATACTTGAAAACCATTACTAACCAAAGCAGACTCACTAAACTGTATGAAATGTCCTGATGACATTCTATTCACAGCAGACAGTACCAGGGCCATACACAGAAAGTGCAGCAAGTAGAATCCATTGACAGTATTTCACATAACTCCATGTTTAAATTAAAATATTCTTGGCCGGGCATATTTTAACACCTCAGCATTCAGTGCCAGACTGACATATGCTTTGCAAGTTTTCTAAAGTGTTAAGTAAGAATTCACCCATCTGTGGACTAGGTCTGCTTCTAGCTCTGGCTCCTCACTTTCCAGATGAACATCCCACCTCCAGCACACAGGAAACATGGAGAAATAGGTTCTTCCCCAGCTGCCTAACACTTGTGAAAATTGAATAACCTAATGAGCACAGAAGGTGGAAAGCAGCAGACAAAGCCCACCAGAGACTCAGGAGAAGCAGCCAAGCATCACCCCAGTCACCACATCTTCAGTCTGAAAGGAGTCATAACGGGAACCAAGCCCAAAAAAACTCTGTTCTGTCAAGCCTCACCACCATAATGACTCCTGTGAGCCTGTTACAAGTTAGGCACAGTTAGCTCAGTCTTTTGTTTGCCATAATTTGCAATTGGGACTGATTTGCCTCCTTCTAACAAGCCACTCCGTAAGAAAATATGGACAGGTATGAGAACTAGGATCAAGGTATCTTTATTTCTACCAGGAATTTGACTTTTCAGTCTACAAAGAGTATGTTTCAGACCCTCTCTAAAGGGGAATGCTGCTAATGATTTGCTGAATTTCAATGCAGAAGTAAAACTGATGGATTTGGACACAGAATACATCTGCAAACTAATGGACCAGACAAAATCCAGCTGTGTTTCCTACTCACAGCTCCCTCCTTTGCTCCCTACACAGTAACTCTTTAAATATTTCTCATGGTTTCAGGTATTTGCTGAGACAGACCTCCTAAACAGAAAGGGCTTTTTTAATACTAAGCACTGCATTACCACCAATACAAACATTCTTCTACTAGGGAGAACGTTTTTCTTGAGTTTTCTGTTTGTCCTTGCCAACATACTGCACAAGGAACCAGTAGGCAAGTATTGATTGCACATGGCCTATCATCACCTCATCATCTATGGCCCTCTCTCTCAAAGCAATAAACCAATTAAAGGCAAGAAAAAGTCATTACTTCTTTACTGCCAATTTTGGGAGGTGGGGGGGAAGCAGCACTTTAAAAAGTGTGTTAGAAGGAAGTATTATATTGCACAAAGCTATTATCTGTGATAAAATACTGAGGAGGTGGCTGAAATCAGAGCCAGCATAAGGCACTACAAAGAAATCACTCAAAACATGCAGTTCAGAGCAGGACCCAATCACACAAGGGTAGGTGGAAGCCAAAGGCACAAATGAATAAACTGATCTGCAAATCCCACCTGAAATCAAAGGTAGAATCAGAATTCAAACCTCCAAACTGCAAAATGACAGCATCAAGTCTGTCTTCAGCTGACCTGCATATCTCTTTTCCAAGTGCTCAAGTGATCTCCTAACTCTTCTCAATGAAAAATGACAAGCATCTATGTAGGTGGAGTGCAGCCTGTGACAGGCCCAGCCCAGGTCCTCTGCAAATTATATTTCACTTCCTTTTCAGAATCTCCCTACCTGATCCCTGCTCCCTTATGGCTTCTACTCCCTATAATCCCTCAGAGCATGTGAAAGAAAGTTCAAACTTTGCAGAAGGAAATGAATGCTTTCACCCTCAACAGGACAGGATTTTTCTGATCAGTCTGACTGACTACAGATTTCCATGTGTAAATTCTTCTGAAATCATGCACAATGTTGCGAGTTCTGAACTGAATGAGAGCTGTAATCTTCAAAGCAAATTACTTACCAGATTAAAGTTCTCAGTTCTAAAATGCAAACTTGTAGTATGTGTGTGATTACTCCGTGCCAAGCCTCTCCTGGCCATTCTTTAAGAAATAACCCTCTATATGTTCGTGGCTCAAGGACAATAAAGCTATTTTTTAAATTTGCTTCTGTATCTGCAATTGGATCTGTCAGAAATAATGGCATCAACCTACTATTCCAAACACACAGGAAATCTGCCAGGAATACTTAAGCTATCCTGAGGCAAGTCTCTAGCTTAAATCAGTGTGTGGCAATTTAAGTTTTTTAATGTTATTTCCCTCAGCAGCTTGCTTTGGCTAACTTCTCCACACTAGGCTTTTTTATTTGTCGTGCTTGACTAACCTTAGGCCTCCCAGGCTACAAGAATGGGCTTCTCCAATTTCAGTGGGTTTGATTCAGGTATTCTTACAATGCAAAAAAGCCAAAAAGAACAAGTGTTCCTCAAAACAAGGTAAAACTTTCCAAGTATCCAGGAACAGGTGAGGTACCAATTATAGCTGATCCATGGCTGTGTAACTCAGGCCTCTGTAAGAACCCTCTGTAAGAATATAAGGCACCTTGGAGCCAAGCACCTGATTTGAAGCAAAGTCAGGCTTTAAACTGTACATCTATCCAAGTTACAAAGAGCAAACTTGCTCACTTTCTTTTACTGGCAATGCCAATTTCTCTTTAACTGGGGGAGAGGGGGAGGCAAAAAGCACAAAGCAAAACAATATTAGGTCTACTGTAGGAGCAGCAAGAAAAAGTTTGCTAATTAACACCTCATTTAGGAACAACCTCATTGAGAAACACCTCTCAGAGTTCTTCCTTGCCATTGCAGTGAGTATTAGCTCTGCAGGAAGGAAGCTGGAGGTACCAAAACAGATCTCTCACCTGGCTGCTGTTCTTTAGTAGTTGTTTTTTATGAAGGAACATAATGGCCAACTGTGGATTGTTCAGATACAAGTGAAAGCATTTTAGCCAAGTGATTGGTACTGACTATTGCAGGATGGCTCTTGTCCCATATTCCCAATTTCCTCCCAAGGCTGCAGAGCAGCCTAAGTCTGGGACAGCTTGGGAGGAGCTACACAGGGTGAAATTTCAACAGCAAAGATAACACAGGTCGTGTCAATAATACGTGACAGATCCATTTTGATGTGGAATCTGCCCTGGCATATTAGGAGGGGGCCAAAATTGCAATTCAAAGATTGCTGTCCCAAACTCACAAGGAGCAAGGGCAGAGCAGAGGTGTTCCTGACAGTGTCCACATCCAAATGCAAGAGCAGGGAGCTGTCATTCCTCGGAGGAGGCCACCTTTTGTTTGTGGAGCCTGCCTGCTCTGAATCTGCTTGCCCAACTACAGAACCGGCCAGACCAGCTTAGAAACAGCTGAATGTTTCCTTTGTTAGGAAAGCTGTTTAAAAGGTCTTTCCTATGTTTGCCCACTGGCAAACTGTTTCAGGAATGCATAATACAAATCCCTGAATGAATTGCAGCACAGGTACTAAAACGTATAAAACAGTAATTTAAGCCCAGTGATTGTAGTGGTGCAGCCTCATCAAAAAAACAGGCACTTTCCACTAATATTTGCCATCACACTGGCACTCATAAAGAGATGCTCTAAGCATAAACAATCACTGAGAGCTTTCTTCTTTCACTATCACCAAAAGAATGCTATGTCTGGTATGCATATACTTGAGTATTTGATCCCGGGACAAGATTTTTATTTATCCTCCTATGACGCAGACAATTTAACACCTGAGCAAAAGATAACCAAACTGATATTTATTGCAGTGTGTTAAGAGAACATTAAATAAGATTTTAAATGTTTTATTGCATCACTTACCTCAAAGAAACTATTAAACTGTCTACCATGATCCTTTAATGCAAGGTATCTTGAAGTGAAAAATACCTCTTCACTGTGGTACAGCACAATGCTGATCACACACAAATCCTACAGAAAGGAAGGAGAAACACACTTAAGACTGCTTATTCAGTATTTTCCATATCTACAAAAATGTGTACAGACCTGCATTAGTCATCTCTACTTCAATTCTTGGGACTTTACAGCAGTTCAAACTGAAAATCCAGTGTATGTTACATGAACAAACTGTATGCACCCCCATTTTTTGCAACAGGACTTCAACATTGCCAAAGTGCTTTGTAAAAAGACTATGGGATGCAAAATCTTGATCTGATTCCCAAGGATGCAAATCTGGTGTTAAACTTACTTGCCTTTTCAATTCACATTCCTGGTATGTCACTTGTATGACAATAAAACAAACAGCTTTATTTGAAGTCTTGTGTTAATAGAATTCATAGAACTGAAATTGGGTTACCAATATTTAATGTACAGTAATATTATTAATACATCTCTATTTGTGAGCAATGCCAGGATGATTATTCTGCGAGTGCTCATACAGTTTGCAGAAAAAAAACCAGAAGAGCAGTGCTGTTCCCTCTAGTACAGATGGCAAACCCACCCACAATGAAATTAAATGCCTTGCCCACAGTCATACAGGAAATCTGGGGTTAACCAGTATTCTGAATATAAATTCAGCTGATCCTTATTTATAAGTACTATCATTGCATTGTTTGTAAATAATTTTTCAGACATCTGGGAATTTCTTATTTTAGTAAATTTGTAATCATATATGGACACCTAAAACACACCAGAATTTTCAGGCAGGAAAGAGATCCCTTAAGTAAGGAAATACAATATAAATCAGGAGAGCAGGGGGAGAGTGGCAAGGAGGGAGGAAAAGAGGAAATAAAACACTAACAGAACTGAACCTAAATCCATACATTTCAGGATTTGGTCAGCTGTTGTCTGTATCTTGCTGTTTACAAGTGGTTACATGTTGAAATGCAGTGGAGTGAACAGAAAAAAGAGAACATTGCTGTTCACAGATAAAGAGCTCTCCATTTCTGCCAGACTGCCAGATAAAAATCTACCTAAAACAGGACAAGCCTGACAAGAACTTAAGAAATGTGCAGTTAGATAACATACAGATCCCACTGCTAGAAAAATGTGGATTGTTTGCAGGTAACTGGACAAGTTGAATGTTCCCTGCCCACCCCTAAAAGTCGAAGAACAACAAATTTAGTTTTGGAAATCACCAAATACTTGCAACAACTTCAAAAGAATTTTTTTAAATTTTTTTTTATTTTTAATTCTTGAATTGTTTCGTTCGTTAAATGTAAGGCATTAAAAGTTGAAAATTTAGGAAATTTCTGTGTGCAACAGGTCTGAATCAGTCCCGAGGATGGAAGCACTAAGGCTCAGCTAAACCTCATCCTCTCCTCCCCCAGTTTCACGGCTGTCAGCAGATCTAGGAGGCTTTCTCAAACCTATTCACCGTTTTCACCACTTAACATTGTAAAATCGTTTTTTATGAGATGGGCAGCACTTCTGAAAACCGATTTTTAGTCTGGATCTTCTGCAACACTTTACACCACTTGAGATTTTAGCACCTAAGTTCAGTTTCTTTAAACCTTAGGCAAGTCACACCTACAGCACCAACACAAGGCATTTAGACAGATCCCCTAAGACAGTACTTACCAACCTTATGAACTGAGGAGGAAACAAATGTCTCACTGCTACAACCTGACTCTTAATTACCAGGCATATTGATGCAATAGTCTTTTATATCACTTATTGGAAATGGAGGATCTGCCTGTAACATAGATTGTAACCAATACGGCTTCAAGTTCTTATCAGTTTGGGTTTTTTCCAGATGTGTTCTCCTTAGTATTTTTCACTCCACAATGAGCTATTTATCCAACATCCTTGTGTGGAGGGAATCTCAGCAGAACACTGCTACAGGATACAAACACACAGGAAAAGCAACCTGCACTCCCTTAATCCCCTTTGCAAATTGCACTTCATTTGAAAAGCCAAAAAGATGCTATGATAGATCTGGTTTTGCAAACAAGCAGGAGAGGGACCTCCAGTGTCCCTCTGGAGATTGTTCTTAAAAATACTTAAAGTTCATGGATATGTTTTCAATTTTTTCAGTTCATCTCTACCTTCATTGTCAATGGCAGGCTGCATTAGAAACTCAACTTTCAACTATATTTCAGTGCCTTTTTCCAAGCACTTCTTACTGCAACTCATAGATGCGTTTCTTTTGAAGGATCATTTGAAGTACGTGGTGTAAAAACTGCTAAATATTTAAGTGACTTAAGAGCTTGTTTTCAAAATGATCTAAGTGCTTAGGTGCTTTCAGCCTATTGAAAGGAATGTCATTTTGGCAGTGGTGTCTTTGATATGAAAATGTGCAAACGTGACAGTCGTTTTCCCTTCAGAAGATCCAGGGCAAAATGAACACGTGAAACAGCTCCACAGTTAACACTGGGATTGAATAACATGGATTTGGCAGGGAAATTTCTAGAAGCCTGATGAGGTGTCCTCGTGTTAGTTACTGCAGAAAGTCTTGGAATGTGAAAGTCAAATTACCTTCCCACAAGGGGCTGAAAGCATTACAGAACCATCTAGCAAAAGACTTTCTAGTAACCCTAATTACAGCAGGAGAGATACTGATTTCTCAGCTGGAACAACCCACACTCTTGTACTTCACAGAGTTAGCAAGACTTTCTCCACTGCATTAAAACATTTCTCATTTCAGCAGTCCTCCCTATTTCATCTCCAAGTGGGATGAAAAAAATCTGTGAAATTGGGTAGGGGGAAAAGAACCTCAAAACACAAAACCACACAGTGCCCAGAAAATCCAATCAAACAAACCAACCAACCCACCACAGAGGATGGGAAAGAATCCAAACCTTCTCTCCAGAACAACCATGGTGTGACAATCAAAGGGAGAGGTGTTTCACTGCATGTAACAGAACATGCATCAGGTCATAGAAGATGAGATAATAAAAGGACCCTGCTTAAAGTCTCCTCCCCCTTCTCTCAGAGTTGCCCACTTGCAGTCACACACTGCAGCCCTTTGTCAGCAGGGCTCAGATAAATGTCTAAGTGATCTTAGAAAATAAAAATACTAATTAGTAATGTGGATTTTAAAAAGAGGCAGAGATGGATAATGGCCCAAAAAATAACCTAGTAGGCTCATAGGCTATCACAGAAATTTCCTGACATGGACAAAAAGAGATTTCTCAAAGAGTTAAATGATGCAATACACAGAATTAGCTGGAAAGACACCACAGACACTGTTATAAAAGTTATGAAAAGAGGAAGAAAGTCCTCTGGGAAGCCAATGGTAACATTTCACCCTTTGTCTAATTATCTTCAAGAAACGTCTTCGAACAAAGAGGTTTGAAATTTTGCAGACAGCCCATGAATTAGTTACCCCAAACTCTTAATTATCACGGGACTCCTCACATGCAGGTTTTCATGTGACTGTACCCTTTGTGCATTGTGAGTGGATGGTATTTCACTTCCATGAATTCCAATGTCATTTTAGCATCAACCTTGTAAGTCCTGTCAACTCATATATATCCATATACATCTGTGTATTAACTATAACACAAATTTCTTAGTCTGAATATGTACAGTACCTATTTAAACAATCTGAGACCCTCTATTTTAACTCACAACAAGGATGTGAGATACATCTTGTAGAAACATACACTAATTCAACCAATTTTAAAGTGTTCTGAGTTTTTAGCCTATTTTACCTTGTTAATTTATATCAAGCCTTCCTTCAATATTTATCATTCTGGTTAGATTATGTATCTTGCCAGCTACCGACAATGGCAACTTGAAGTAGCTACAAAGCTGGAGCATTGTTCCAAAGTCACGTTTCCACTGATGTGAAAAGCTCTCTTTTTGTAGTATTTAGTGGGGGGGGGAATAATAAATACAGAATATTTAGAAATATTTTTTAAAAATATTACACCCTTTAAGACTGCCTTTGAGTTTGTTGCCTAGTATGTTGGTATAGTGTATCTGTTAGTTTAGTTGTTCACATCTATGAAATCATGTTCAGTGCAAGTCCTCTGGATTGCATCCAAAATTCATTACATTCACAAGACTTTGATAAAGCACTCGCAGTGTGCCAGGTTTATCTGGCTACATAATTTGTGCACACATCCAGCAGCTTGAACTGCAGCTGTTGACACCTACCACCGGAGTTCTAACCTCTTCAAATGTTCAGAAACTACATTAAAACATGCACTTGTCTCTGGAAGGTGCATAACAGAGAAATCTAGGACTGTATCTGATGAAAAGTTCTGATGCTTACGTGGAGCAAGCCTTTTATTAAACCAGAAATTGCAAGTTACCCCACCTAACCCTGAAGGTGCCTTTCTGTTTCATTTTAAACGCTTTGAAAACTTCCAAGTTCTCCTTCTGGGTGTGTCCAGAACTACTGCAGTCCAAGAAAGCTCAGTGCCTGTCTCCAATCTAAGCTTGACTGAGCTCCAGAAGTTTTCATTCCTTTGCCTAAAACACACACGGTGCAGTAATTGTCCTCCAGGATATACACAGAGCGATGATCAAGCCTCTTACGTTCACAAATGCAACTAACTGGCTCTCCACCATAGCCCGTGGAACCATCCCCTCTGGCATCCCGGGCTGGAACCATCCCCTCTGGCATCCCGGGCTGGAACCATCCCCTCTGGCATCCCGGGCTGGAACCATCCCCTCTGGCATCCCGGGCAGTGACTCACCTGCTGTGACTCACAGCTCTTGGGGCGGGGGAGACACTCCCTGGGACCTCGGGGCCACCCCTCACCCCTGGCTGATCTGGGCCAAGGTGCCACCACCTCTGCCAAGCTCTGCTCCCACACAGGAGCGCCAAAGACTCCAAACAAAACAATAACTGTGAGGTTCAGGGACATCCTGGGGCAATCTTGAAATTCTGGTCCAGTTCCTAGAGCTTAATTCAGCAAACCGTGTTACCTGCTTATCTAGCATCCAATTCTATAATATTTAATCGTCCTCTGAAAATCTAGGAGACAAAGTTGGTGAAATGCCACAGTGATAGTACACCA